CTGACGCACGATAGAGACACAGAGAAACCGGGGTGGCCACAGATGACAACCGACCAAACATTCCGACGCCACGCTGACGCACCGATCCTTGAGGCCATACAACGCCCACGTCGACAGCAATAGACTGCAAACAAGCCCCGGGCAGACCAGTGAGTGCGGCTTGATTTGAGGGCCCGCGGCCCCCGCCGAACGACAAAGACGCGACGGCGAAGACGGCCTCTACACTCAGGGTTCCCTAATTCAATTCAACGCCCCAAGAAATACGACCCGGGAGTAAGGCGAGCGTTCTGCCTCCTGAAGTTAGTGCTTGCTCTCAGAAAAGGACCACCGTCCACTATACCGGAAACATCCATAACACACAAAACGAAGTTCGAGAGTTACTCCCGGAAATAGACCGGTGGACAGGCGAAGCGACGCGCAGAGCGAACGTCGCGGTCTCCTTTCAAATTGGCATGGGAGGGTCTTCGTTGAACAGGACAGCACCCGAAGTTACGTGCAGTGCTCACGGGACCACTCGGCTACCGAAGCAAAGTTCCCCTATCCCCGTTTCATCCATATCTCGTAAAGCTCCGTAGAAGCCAAGCAAACGGATCAATTTTTCATGGTTTGCAGCTTTTCCGTTGTACAAGATGTTTGCCCTCGCGAGCCAAGCTCCATCCTATCTGTGCGTAAGGCACTGCGATGGCCTTCACAGAGGGCTTGGTCGTGTTGATTGGTCATCTCTATACAGAATAACCAGTGCAGAAATGAATACAGGGCAAGAAGACGACGAGACAAACGCTTGTCCCTTCGTCTTGTTGTCCTGCATTGGTTTCTGTGCTATGTACCGAAATAAGAGCAACGATACTTAAAACGTTCGGCAAGGGCGTGCCAGTGCTGTCAAGTGCGCGACAAACTTTCTTTATTTTATCGCTGTAGTAATTATGAGGAAGTAGACGTCGTTTTTTTAAGGGGCGAATCTCCCAAAGCCGCGGGTTTTTTTTTTCTTCTACTGTGAACAGTTCTTGACCACCTAGTTTATGGATGACTCAGCAGGTGGTACTAGTGTGACCGATTCACGGTTACCAATTAAACCCTCCGAAACTTACCCCACTCATGATCATTCCCCTCGTGAATATGCTGTGACATTTTTTTTTGTCGTTGTCGTCACGTACCATATGAAGACCAAATTGACAACATCATGAAGGACAGAGAGAGAGAGAGAGAAAGAAATATGGTATGAAGAAATGCAGGGAGGTTAACCGGAAAGCAAGTGTCTGGTTTGTTATACCCTGCACTTGGGAAGGAAAAAGGGGAGACAGAGAAGTAAGAAAAAGGAAATGAGAGAAAGAGAGCGGGTAAGGGTATGCAAACAGGGACACCAGGAGGAAGGCAGGGCACCAACACGACGGATTTCACCGCGATTCCCTTCTCGTGCCCAGGCTTCCACGCCCTGTCCTCTGTAATGAATACGTGCCAACTATAGCTCATCTGTCTGTCATTTTCGATCACATCGCTGCGCTCGTTGCATTTTTTATGTCTGCGGTAAAACTTCCAAAGCCTCCACCTGGCCGCGGCTCAAGCAAACAGAAATGAAACGCGCTGACCGACTCCGTCGGCTGACGGGTGGTGTCGCTCTGGCTGCAACTGCGAAGCTTGAGCCAAGGTCGTGCACACTGTACCTTTCCAGAGATCACTTGATGTGTGGCTCATGCATTTGCACGTGCTGCGCAGTCATAGCTTACATCGTGTTAAAGCGACAAACGAAAGATTGTTGGACCGTAAGGCGCCTTTGAGAGGGATACGTTGTCCAAATCTTTCGTTACAATGTAGGGAGTGCGGCTGCGTACCCTTGCTGTCAGAGGCCAGGGTGCTCGCAAGAATGAAAGGAAAAAAAAATGCACGAGAAATGGAGGAAGCATATTTTAATAATAGATTAGGCGACACTTGCGTTGCGAAACCTTCAAACATGTTACATGCCACCGAGATAGATTACTTGAGTGCTTGCCACTAAAACGATTTATTTTTTGGTAATATGACGTGCGACTTTGTTGACCTGTATATTTATGTGTGCGCGCTTTCTGGAATAAATTCAATCGATAGTTTACGTTTGTCCGTATCTCGTGTTTTTTTTTTCGCCCCATAAGCTACGTTAAGACTGAACGAACTCGCCCAACAGGTCACTTTGCTGACAGAACGAAAACTTCGCCCCGCCGCGGTAGTCTACTGGCTAAGGTGTTGGGCTGCCAACCCGCAGGTCACGGGATCGAAATCCCGGCTGCGGTGGCTGAATTTTCGACGGAAGCGAAAATCCGGTATTTGGGTGCACGTTAAAAGACCCCAATCGGTCAAAGCTTCCACTACGGCGTTTCTCAAAATCATATCGTAGTTTTGGGACGTTCAACACCACATATCAATCAGTACGAAAACTTCGTTCAAAGTGCGGGCCGTATTCTCTTTCGCTAGCACTTTGTATAGAGCTATACGCCAGATCGGATTCTATAGAAGTTAATTGCGATACTTACTTCGTGCAACATTCCAATTTCTCGCTGTCACATCAATTGCGTCTACATTTCGGTTAATTTGCGACTTTTTTTTAATTGTTGTACAGGTGGAAAATACTGCCACTTGATGCAAGCGGAGGGTTTTTGTAAGGCGGCGGTAGTTCCCCTGATCATTGATTGCCCTATTACTGCAAACAGTACGTAAACATTTCATACAGACCATTTATATTGGTTAGAAGACCTTGACGAATACTTTATGAAGTAATAGTACTACAGGTCATGTATCCATAAGACGATGGATAAAGAAATAAATAAAGCGAAATGAACGTGATGATCTAAATGCGGTGATGATGATAGTGATGATGGCTTTTGCTTCCTAAGGCCATCGTCGTCGTCATCATCGTCATTACAGCTTCGCTATCCGATAAGTTTTCACTGCGTTGAACTGACTGAACCTTTATTTATTCATTAGTACTCTTTTTTTTGGGATGCCCATGGATTCGATATATCTTGCTTTGACTGCATGCATTCCTCCAACTAAAACACCCCTCACTACAACTTCAACGCAGTGCAGGAAATCGACGCACCCATCAAGATGGGCAAGAAAACGACTCAGCGCTTTCTTTCGCTGCTCTCTCTCTCAGTCTTATCCTCTCACCAAACCAACTTTGAGGGGTACCGCAGCGTCCAGCCGCAAATCCGATTACACGAGAACAACAACAACATCCAAGAGGGGCGAGCACTGCCGGACACTGGCGAGTCCGGCCCCAGAGAGACACTCCGGCACCCACGGTCCCCTCTCGGGGCTCTCGTCCGGACTCCCAATCACCGGAACAAGACCGCACGCCAAGCGGTCGCCGCGCGTCTTCCCAACCACTACCGACTCCGCGGGCCGTACTGTCGTTGCCGCTCCACCAAAAAAACCGTCATTTGTTTTTATTCTTTTGACGACCGCACCAAGAAAGATAACGACAATAGATAAGAAGTTGCGCGATGCTGTCTCGGCTCATCTAGTTACCTCTCCCCTCCTTCTTCCTCCCTACTGTGGAACTCCACAAGCGCAGGAACAACCGGCCCATACAGAAGAACGTAAACAGGAACTAGGGATCTACTATCCGGAAAAGCCGTCGGAGTGCTGCCCCAATGAAGACAGATGAACGGAGTTATTAGTCTCTCTCGGGAGTTGTTCTTCCCTCAGCTGACAGAACGAGGGCGGTAGAGTATAGTGACGCTGCAGGCTCCGCGAAACGAAAGAATGACGCGTTGGAAAGGGTCGCGTAAGAGCTTATAGAGAAACGACTGTTTTATTCGCTGCGGATGGAGGCGCCACCGTCGCTAATGACACCGTCTCCAGCGTGCTTTGCACGTGTGTGTGAGAGGTACACACCTTCTCCGCCAAACCCGGAAGCTACAGATGACGTCACCAGCGGACAATTTTATCGCTGCGTTTAGCTCCTATGTTGTCGAGACACGAACGCGTAAGAGAACAAGACTTACACGAGCGTTTGCCTGCATACTTTGTCTTCTGTTAGTACATTACTGATCACTGTGCGCTAAACGACTGCAAGATTCTCGCTCGTCCCCTTATACGCATTTGCCTGGGACAAACTGGAGGAGGAAGCCATCTATTTATTACACTTACTTTTTCTTCTCAATCGATTGCTTATGACCGGTAAAGTTAATATCAGTATTAGTGTACCGTTACCTTCCCTTGATCAAGGCCCCATACCATATTATAATCAACAGCCAACTGCAGGGCAAATACCTCTCGCATGTTGCGCCGGTAAACTCGGTCTTGTGCTCTCTGCTGCACCGTTATGCCTGCAAATTTCTCAACCCCATCTGCCTCCATAATTTTCTTTCTCACCCTCAAGCGTTTGTCCTCTCTTGGAATCCAAGCATTGGGATGACGGGCGATTATCCTGCCCACGCACTTCGTGTCCGGCTCATGTCCATTTCTCCTTGATTTCAATTATGGTATTCTCAAACCCCATTCGTTCCCTGCTCCACTCTGCTGTCTTTCTTTCTTATGTGATTCTTAAAAAGAAAGGAAGAGAAAAGTGAGCCCCGTAACTGTCTGCATCAGAGTGCGACACCTCAACAGTAGCTCACAAGTGATGAGGGTAAGGAGGGATTAAAAGGATAGGATCAAAGGGTAAATAGACAGAGGGAGGAAGGAGAGAGCGAGGCGCAGGGACAGTGAACGACAGAAAACGACGAAAGTAAGGAGGTGATAGGAAAGACGGACACGGTCGCAGGAGTCCGAGGACGGGGCACCACTCGGCGAGAGCTCTTGTAATCGTCAGGAGCTGGCGTAGGGCGAGCCCAGTTTGGCCAGAGCTGCGCTGTCGTCGGAAATCGCGGGGGCGCAACCGGTCGGCACGAAATCCAGAGAGCGAGTCCTGCTGTCTTCCCGTGTGGTAATATATCCGAGCCATACATATGACTTGCCATGAAAACTTTATCAACTCTGCCTACCCCTCTCTTTCACTCACTCGCTGTCTCGCTTTCACTCACCGGGCTTGTAGGCGCACGTGTTGTCGAAGTAGGCGACGGACGGGTCGGCCGAGCGGACGAAGTGCACGTGTCTCGAGAATCGGTCGTACCGGCTGAGTCGGCACTCGCCCCCGCGCCACTCGGCCGAGCGGCAGACGAACGAGCGCTCGGCGGCGCACGCCTCGAGGCAGGCCCGGCGCGTGGCGTTGCCCAGCACCCGGTTGTCGTGGCCCTCCAGCTCCATGCCCTGGATCCACTCCGCCACGAACAGCCGGTCGCAGGCACCTGCGAGTACGCGTTATGTATTATTATTATTATTATTATTATTATTATTATTATTATTATTATTATTATTATTATAGCAATTATATGGGCACTCTCAGCTGGATTTTGCCGTCGACGTCGACGTCATGCACCGTATATGTATACGTATCTATATATATGAAAACGCAAGAAAGAAAAAATCCTGAAAAAAGCACTCTGGCGCACGGACTCGAACGCGGGACCTCTGCGTCGTGATAGCGAGGCGTTAACCACTGAGCCACCCCGGAGAACGTTCTTCACTGTTCAACGAGAAGCTATTTATATCTACCACTTACCACTGCTGTGTTTTCGGAATTACCAGAAGGATGGCGCAATGAGCGCACGTCGCCACATCGCGCAGCAGCGCCCACTCTAATCTCCTACGCGTACTTTGCCTGGCTTAGAGAAGGGGAGAGCGACGCTCCCTCGCGCGCCCTTATGTCACGGTGGCGAGGAAGGGGAAACTCGTACGCCTTGGCTGGCCTCGGGCTTTACGTGGAACGATTCTGCTATAGTTACCGGGCGCACAAAGGTCCCTGCAATCATTGCAGTCTCCGTTCGCGAAAAGCGCGCGCTCTTCAGACTCAGTGAAGTAACGAATGAGACGCTTATTCGCGTGCATCCGTAGCTGTGAGTACGTTTCGTGCGTCACATTTCCGTCTGTTTTTCATTCTGCGCATGACCTTTCAAATTGTTGCTATCGCGTTCATTGCTTCGCCTTTGCGGCAAAGCTGGGACTTCTATTATTATTATTATTATTATTATTATTATTATTATTATTATTATTATTATTATTATTATTATTATTTCATACCCTCGCACAGATACGCAAGGACGCAGAGCAAAGAGAGAGAGAGAGAGCAGGCTATAGCCACCCTATAGTGGTACAACGCCTGCCCGCTGTTCCGGTACGAAGGGAGATCATTTAGGAAAGGAAGGTGTGAGGAGAGAAAGCGAGCCAGCACAAATGAACTCTAGGAAGCGACGAAGCAAGTCAGTGTGAGTCGACACTTGTCTCCATAGGCAACGCTCATCTGTGATGTAGTAGCTAATGCAAGGCAAAACAAAGAGACAAAAAAAAAGAAAAGGGCCTCTTCAAAATCAAGGTAAAGGGCTGAGGCACTCTCCATCTGTGAATGATGATCAGCAGAACTTGCGCGTATGCATAAACACCTTTTTTTGGTTTCTGTCGCGCTTACATATACATGCGTTAAACGGAGAAGAGTGAAAACACAGGAAGTATGAAGAAAGAGAGGCCAGAGAGAAGGCGCGGAGCTAGAGGAGATTGAATAGAGAGAGACGGGGGATGCTGGGGAGGCAAGGGTCCAATGGACACCCTTTTTACTTGAAGCAAATGTCCCCCCCCCCCGCCCATCATTTGAAGAATAAGACATAAGACGTTTCGTGCATACGTGGTAGGCACAGCTTGAAGTCAAAGTCGTACGAGTGTTGATTAGAATTCGTAAAACGTGTTAGCAGAGACTGATAGCGAAGTGAAGATTTTCTTTTTTTGTGTGTGTGAGGGGGGGGGGATGAGTTGCGCGATCCGAAAGCGAGCAAGTGCAAAAGATAATTGAACTGAAGAAGGTGCAGACCACCAAATGGTTTCATGTAACCAGCCTTTCATTTAGAAAAAAAATAAGGCGGAGCAACTGGATTACATTAAAAACTAAGTTTTTTAAGAAGCCATAACGAGTGAAAACTCAAAGGAGCTTAAGATACTATAGGAAATGCGCGCACACTGACGCATGGTACGCTCATACACTAGCGCCACGAGGTCCTTTAGCGAGCTTGCACTGAAACAAAATGATGACGAAGATGATGAAAACTTTAATGAGGTCCAGTGAATACGCGGGAGACATCGTGCCACCCGACTATGGTTCAGCACCGCCAAGAGAAGCGAAACAGAGCCAAACAAGCACGCAACATTGTGGAGTGTATGACAACATCAGAAGACTGCGACGATCCCATCGTTCTCCTGTTTTACATTTTGCTCCTCCGGCACTTCGAATTTCTCGCCACACTTCGTGCGTCCAAAGAGCGTGATGCATTTGGCAGACGGGAAAATGAGGGCGGCAGACGACAGCGCTTTTTTCTTCCACTTCTGCAGGCGTGCGAGGCGTGTCTGAAGTACGGCCGTGACTATTGCCGAGACAGGAGTCCCGAGACTTTGAAGCCTTCATTTCCGTTTCGGAGCCCAACAAAGAAAGCCGGAGGCCAAGAAAGACGAGCTGTACCCTCTTCATATCCATATTGAAACGATCCGTATGCGATGTACAATAATTCCGTATGTTTCCGTATGAATACATATGTTTCCTATATATTTACCACATATTTGCGTAAGATTCTTACGGAAACATACGGAATTATTGGACATCTCATACGGATCGTTTCAATATGGATGTGCGTATATTTTCGGCTTGTGCTCGAGTATATGAAACTTGCCGGAACCCTTCACTTCTCAGAGCTGTGTCAATTTTGATACAAGAAAGGCCAGAGTGTGTAGTGTCACGGCATACTGGTAACAGCAGCATCTCTTAATTTATGTATATATGGTAAAAAGGGTACGAGATAAGGCAGGTTGTGATGTACTCGCAATGATGTATAAGCTGGAAAAATGAAACAACAGAAGGGACGCAAGTATAAGGGCACAGTGCAGCGCAGGGCTAAGACACACGGGGGAAAAAAAAAGTCATGAATAATATATGGCGTTTTACGAATCTTCAGTTAATCAATTTTAATTTGTTTTGTTGTTCCTCAGCTCTACTAGGATCTATGTTTGTTTAAGAAAACTAATTTTAATGATCTTGACGTTGTATTTTTGTATGCCTTCTTTATCGCACTGCCATACCACAGCTTAAAAAAAGCAGTTGCGTCTTCTCTCCTGCGAAACAGCTCGTACATATATGCGTCAAAACGCATTAACGAATAAATTCTTTACAGATGTTAACCGAGGCTAGCATCTAGTAGGCACGCCATAGACGATGCTGTGGTTCTCAGACGGTCGTTATGCTGTTAAGGAAGCTCGTTCGGTTTCAAGCTGTGACAGTGACCAGGCATTCGTTCCTTTTTTTCTTTTCATCCCAACATTTCGAGAAACCGTCGAAATTAGGCGGGAGCTTATAGGAGCTCACGTCTGCTACACACCCCAGCAGAAAAAAAAAAAAAAACGGAGGCATTCTACCCAAACACCGTAATTGCTTGGCTGAACCTAACTTTCTAGGAATTCTGCTTATCTCACAGCCGAGTGGCATACAGAAGCTAGATGGCAGGGAGAAGGAAATGTGTACAGTTCAATCAAAGTATTCGCTGAAGCAGCTTATAGGCCTTTCCACATGGACAAGCCCCGGTAATCGTCCGATGCTGTGGCAACGCATTCATTCGGGATACGAGTTGCGACTTCCCATCTGCCCGTCTCCCTCGACATTCCCAACTTGGGTCGCCCCGCAAATGCCCCCTGGTCTGCGCATTCCTTCGCCCAACCGTGGCTGAGACAGAAACAAGCCAAGTAAACGGACACAGACACACAAGAAGGAGCAGCTATAGAAGGGGACGTCGCGAAACGCTGACACGTACAAGTGTGACCCGTGTGGCGTGTAAGAGGAGTTATCTTCGGTAATGACACCTCTTTCCCAAATGGCAACCTCCCTGCAAAGTTGCGAGTTTGCACCTGTCTCTTCGTTTGTACTGCTTGTTTTATTATACGGACCGCCCTATAATACACGGTGCAGTTGTACGAGCGGCAGGTATTTAGAAGTGCTGACGACGACCGCGTACTGAAAGCCATTCGGGAGCGACACTAACTCGCTCGCGCTCCCTGCAGAAGGCGTCGCCGCTGAGTCGGCAGTCTTAAAGTCCATCAATGAGGAACCTTAGGCAGTCTCGCTGAGGTGATGGAACGCCGCCTGGCTGCCATAGCTTAAACTCCTCCCCATCTCCCCCACATAGTGAAGGTAAGTAGCTCGTTGAATAATCGAGGGCAATGATCATTTTCTTACACCTCCCAAAGATGGCGTATTGCCGTAAAATGAGGTTATATATACCCGCGACGTCACCTCCAGTACGAGTATACTGCAGTATTCGTATCAGGCTTGTACATAATCTTAAGGTGTGGTTCGGTTCGTCGCCTTTCCTTATACGTACTAAGAGACCTAAAATGCAATCATAGTTCGTGGAACGACTGTGTGGCATTTTCTGCGACACTTCGCGAAATCCGGTGGTCATTCGGAGGATGGCGAAATTGAAAGCTCCAGAACGAATACCCATCTAGTTGCCCAAAGCCTGAAGCTTTCGCCATTAAAATTATGCTACGGTTGATGGCGTCGTTGCAGTCCGTATCGTCTTTCGGATTCGCTGATGGACATTGGGACTCAAGTCGATGGATTAGTAATACTAAAGTCGTTTAGTTCACTTTCTAGAGTTGCACTGGAGTTATGGTTAGCTTAAATGAGCTATATTTCATTGGCATCTTATGAAATTTACTAGCTAAAGCAGGTGGTCTTTATCTCCCTCTCTCTCTCTCGTTTAGTGCAAAAATATCTTTTCTCAGCGTGTGTGACCGCAGAGGCAAGCTTTCTAAAATTAGCATTGTCTGAGCGCGAAAATAAAATTCTTACAGTGTGGGTTTCAATCATAAATTTTTGCTGCTCTGCGCATAAATATTTCTGTGCTACTTAATTAAGAGAAACAACAACAACAACAACAACAACAACAACAAAAACAACAACAACAACAAAAACAACAACAACAACAATAATAACAATAACAGCAATAACAATATAATCAAGTTTCGAAATCCCGAATTGATGATATTAGGAACGCCGTAGTGGAGACTCCGGAAATTTCGACCACCTGTTGTTCTTTAACGGGCACTCAGATCTGAGCGCACGGGCCTACAGCATTCCCGCCTCCATCGAAAATGAAGCCATCGCGCAGCTGGGATTCCATCCCGCGACCTGCCGGTCAGCATCTGACCACCTTAGCCACTAGAACACCGCAGCGCGGCAAGGACTGCGATAAGTTTGACCCCATGTTGTTCTTTCACGCGCACTTACATCAAGCCGCGCTGACCTCTGCTGTTTTATTTTCGTCGACATGTAGTCATAGTGCTTATTGGGCGCAAAACGACACCACAATAGAGAAGACAGAACACAGCGCTCTTCTCAACGCCGGCGAGTTGAGAGAAGCACTGTGTTCTTTCTCCCTTCTCGTGGTGTCGTTTTGCGCCAAACCAGTACTATGGATTCGCACCAACTAGCCCGCCAACGCAAACTGCTGGACATGTCACCTCCACGGTCGAAATTCGATCACGTGATTTTCCAGTCACCAGTCGAACACCATAACTACTAAACCACCATGCATGATGGATTCCCCCCACCCTCCTTTCTTCCCGGATGCATACACCTATGGCCTCTATGCGCTGTGATTCCCCAGTATAGGAAACAAGCAAGCCCTAACGGCCGCACTTGCACACAAAAAAAAAAAAAAAGCTTTACAGTGAATGCTATAGCGACTGATTTGAGAACGTTCCGTTACTGTGACTTCCGGACCGCGTAACATCGGTGACGTCATTCGCTTTATTTTTAGGTGTTTTACCTGTTTATTACACATCTTTTCGGCGAAGAGAAGAATCACCTTTTCAGTGGTATCCTGTATGGGGGAATACAAAAGACGTCGCAGCCCCAACAGTTCATTTTTGAGTGTTCACGCCCCTTAACAGGAGCCCAGAGAAGATTATGCATGGCGCCTACGGGGCCTTCGTTGATGAGGTGCATAGTTGGCGTGCTCAGACGCTCTTCTCTACCAATGTTTACAGACGGCGCCAATATAAGGCTGCGCGCCCGTTGCGCGACGCGTCTAATGGTTGCGAAAGCCGCATTTGGACGCGCCTGCAGCGGTATATTCACTTGAGAACGCTGGAGTATGGTGCGTCCACATAGCAGGCGCCGAACTGTCCAACCACGATCGTAAGAGCTCATCAGTACAGCTCCGGTCGTCGCTCGAGCCATATGCGCGCCTTCAGTGAATTTCACGTGCTTTTGCACGCCATTCGCCCATAGTCTGGACGTACGCAATATATTACGGCGCGCGCACTCCCTCAACGTAAAAGCTGGCACTGACGAGCGTCTGCACGCGAACTGTCGAACCACACCTCCTAATTCCTGTTATGGGCTGGCATTAGCCGCTGGATGTGTGCTTAGGTAGGCAACGCAAGGCGCAGACTGATTGGCAGGCCGGCTCTCTTCTTCTATAGGCATCTTCCATGTATGTGTACTGGAAACACACACACACACACACACACACACACACACACACACACACACACACACACACACACACACACACACACACACACACACACACACAGCAGAATACTTATTGCACGCCTGAATTATAGCGATTATCGCGATAATCTACGATGCGGCGCGAAGCTGCACGACGAATGCGCACTTCCGATCACCGAGGATCGCCTGAGCGCCTACCATTACTCCTTGCGCCGCCGGCAGATACGCGACAGAGCTGGGAAGTCGCGAAACTCGCACGCTATATACATTCGCACCATATATATTGAAGTTGTCTGCGTATAGTACCATCGTGGTCCCGAGATCATTCATTTAGACGGAATAACAGGCACACTTGTGAATCATTAACATCACGTGTGGCACTGACAACGTTCCTAAAGGAAACAACGGGTAAGCGGACAGTTGCGTATGTTGCGCGTCCACTTGCGCTCGTATAGGTTCGCGAGAATGGTTTCGGCTTGGTGATGCTTAGGGAAGCTTAGTCAACGACTAAGCTGATAGCTCAGCCAATGGAAACCGCTCGTGACACCGATGCTGAACGGCTTTTCGTTTCACCTAGCCATATACAGCTGTCGGTTTAATAGCGTTCGGTTTTGGCGTTGGGACGTTTTTTTTTTTTAATTCAGCGGAAGCACAAGAGCCTACCCCAAAAGCTTTGCGTCAAAATTGACGGTAGCCACTGAAGAGATGGCTTTTGGTCAAGACTATACAGTGATAAGATTAATTTACCAGCGCAAAAAAAGACAGTACGTTCAGGAAAGAAACACACACTTGCGCTAGTAAACTTATCTCAATCATGAAGTTTAACTCCCCCAAGCAGCAGTCTTAGCGAAGAAAACTGTTGGGTGACTTACGAGAAGGAGTGTGCAAAGCACCGCAGAGAAAACTCTTATCTCCTACTCGACCCAAAGCCAGCACCCGCAAAATGGTTTCGGGGCCGCAAACTGTTGGGGATCCTATTCCAAAACTCCCTAGAGCGTAATTTCACGATCCCGGAATCACCACTCACCTTGTAGGCATATCTTCTCGAGGTAGTAAACTCCATTGACGGGCGACAGGGTGCGCTCGTGGACAACGGCGGAGGCGTCGGCCGCGGCGCCCATCAGTTGGCAGTAGCTGTCCGTGGCGTTCTTGACGAAGGTCAGCGACCGGCAGCGGGCGTCCCGGCGGCACGCCTCGGCGCACGCCGTCAGGTTGACGCCGTACTCGCGCGAGAAGATGTCCGAGTCGAGCCGTGCGTTCGTAGCCAGCATGAACACCGGCTTGCCCTGGCTGCACGAGGCGTCCGACCCTGCGAAGTTCGTCCAAGGATTCGAGTGAACATCGCAAAGGAACGTTAAGCCAAGTGAGCCGATTTCTGATCCCTTAATGCGCATTCGTGCCAACATAAGGGAAGTCGTTCAGATGCAAGAACATCCAGCGGAAACTCAAGGCAAGGTCTAATTAGAAGATTCCCTCGCTAAGACACTGGCAACAGTGTGTGAGTGAGTGTGTAGTTTTCTACTTCGGCTTTCGCTGGTGTTGTTGTTGTTCTTTTTTTTTTGCACCTAAACGTTAAACAACTGTCTCAGCTGAAGATTCTGGAAGTAAGAGGTTCGTGTGAAGAAGAGAGGGGGTCCGGAGCAACAATAATAAAAAAAAAAATAGGTGAAAGAAATGCCCTGGTTTTAAGTACTGCTTCATAGGGCCGCAGTAACGTCATATACAGCTCTGAACGATTGCAGTACAGGTTTTAGACCTTCGCAGTTGTCCCTCCCGGTACTCCATCTGCTGGTAAATATGGCGCTCATGTGTGAATACTTTCGCATGTAGGGCAAAATATTAAAACGCGGGTACCACGTTTGATAGACATGAGTGGTGGAAGCACCGCGTTTGATACACCTGCGCTTCCTTTGCCTGTGCTTGCCTGACGCCAGGGTCACCGAAGGACTGAATTGTCTGTTCGAGCCGGCAGACTCGCTCGCTGAATTTCGTGCCGACCGGTTGTGCCCTCGTGTTCTCCGACGTCAGCGTAGCTCTGGCCCACTGGGCTGGCCATACGTCACCTCCTGACGCCGATCCTCGACGACAGCGTAGCTGTTACCTACTGGACCTGCCCTACGCCATCTGCTGACGCCGAAAAGAACTCTCGCCAGTGGTGCCCCGTCCTCGGACTCCTGCAACCGCGTCCATCTTTCCTGTCCTCTCCTTACTTCCGTCGTTCGCTGTCCCTGTTCCTCGCTCTCTCCTTTCTCTCTCTCTCTCTATCTCTCTACCATTTAATCCTTTTATTCCCTTCTCTACCCACATCCCTCGTGAGCTACTGTTGAGGTGTCCTCCCACTGTAGAGACAGTTGCGGGGCTCACTTTTGTCTTCTTTTCATTTAATATGAATGAATGAATGAATATCACCCCCCCCCCCTCCTCAGCGCAGCAGCGGCAGTTAGAGGGAGCGCACTCGGAGCCGCTAACAGTAGAAAAACAGTAAAAAGGAGAGACCACGGAAGAGGGTGTAGATTATCACATAACACATCAAACAATCGCAAGGAAAAAAACCTAAGAGGACATCACTATCACAAATGAGCCCAAGCAACACTGAAAAGAGCACAGAACATGACATAAAGAAAACATAAACGCAAAGAAAAACACGGGCGAATCAGTGCTCTCCAGTTCAGCTTTTGCTTGGGGTAGAAGCGGCATATAAAGTTCAGAACCGCTAGAATTTGTTATTTTTTGTTTTAGGGTAGGATTAGGGTTGCTTTGCGGGATATTTCATAGGCACGCCCGTACACTCGAGAGGACTGTTCGGTGATTCGGATTCTCCCAGGCAAATTAGGAGAATCGGCAAGCACGTACTCGAGTAGGCCAGGAATAGTGACCACTTTTGCCGTGACTTGATCGAAGACAATTTGGTATTTGATGGCAGCGTCAGCAATAGAGATCAAAACATGCGCTGACTACAAACGCTGCGACTACATAGTTAAAATAACTAGACAGTCTCCGAGGTCATGTGGTTCCATTTCGAAACACGCTGAAGCAAGCGTTGAGGTAGTGAATTTCACTGAACCCGCTAAGTAGGCGAAACTAGCCTGGTGACTGATTCTGATTCTGGAACTGATTAAATTCTGGCTATATCCAGGAAACCAGACAAGGAATGTCCCGTTTCTTGTCTATATCCAACACTATAAGCGGGAACTGAGTTTCAGTGTACGGCGTGTCTCATAATAATACCGTGGCTTGGACACACATTATTAAATAGCAACAAACATAACGACCCGTTACTATTGATACATATATCTAACTATGCAAACCTATATATTTCTATATGAATTTACTATATATATATATATATATATATATATATATATATATATATATATATATATATATATATATATATATATATATATATATATATATATATATATATATATATATATATATCTTATAAATTTCAACCTATATATATGCTTCAAGACGAGCCTGCAGCTTCACAGTGGCCGTTAAAAAAAAACTTCAATGTTCACTACGCATACCTGTGTTCAATTTGAAAATGAACCACGCTGGTAGATTACCACAGGCGTCGCGGCACTTGATCTCATTCAAACGTCCGCTCAGAAGGTCGGAGACGCACTGGACGAAAACTGCAGTTCCAATCGAACGTCAGCAGTTCGCGACTACGTCAACCAACAAAAACGAGTAATCGTCCACCAAAGATTATTCATTTGTCTTCCAAGTTTTGCTGAATTCCAGGTTCACGCAGGTGCATGAGTTCGATGCTTTGCATATAGCAAAAGAAGTGAAAAAAAAAAAGAAAGGGGCACCGTGAATGGCTTCCAGCTGTTATCGAAGTTCATGACTCGCAACACACGCCCCACAAATGGAGCTCGAAGCACTAGATGCTCCAGCAAACACAAACACATACACAAAAAAATAAAAACAAGCTTCACCTCAAACATACGAAAAGAAGTATGGTGAAATTGAAAATAATAATAATAATAATAATAATAATAATGATAATAATAATAATAATAATAATGAAGGTAAAGCACTTCCCACAAATCTTCCCATCACACAAACGTGCGACGCAAGCAAACCATCCATAACATCACCACATAGATAGTACAGGGAAAACACCTCGGGGATAGGGCAGCCAATTAAGAACGGAAGCGAAGCGGCCACAGGATAAGATAGAAATTGGCAGGGCATTCCAGTGCTGGTGGGAGCAGGGACTGATGAGAATAAATAGCCGCTCGTTAGGTTTTGTTGCCCCGTGCATCAGACGCTTCTTCCTCTTTTTGACACCGCGCTGATTTTTTCGCCGTATACCCAGTCTGCACCAGTGAAACTGTGTATCTTTTATGTTCCTCATCCAATTTATCCTTCTTTTGATTTCTCTTATGGTTCGGACCCCAGGTCCGAGCCGGCGGCCACGGCTTATACTAGGAAGCGGCCCTTAACAAGCTGGAGGACTGGCTCTGTCAGGGAATCATCGTCACTCCTGTTTCGTTTTTTTTTACTTACGTTATTATTCTTTTGCCCACGCAGTCATTTCCAGTGCTGGCCAAACGACCTATAGCCTCCAAAGCCCTGTCTCTACTGGGCCCCCACTCTCGCGGATATAAAAGCAGTGCCACCGAAAGGGCACCGGATAAACTTCCCTTGTTAGCACTTCCGCACAAACACAGACATAATACACACCGGCAAACGAGACACAGAATATAGGAAATAATATAGGCATACCGGGGGGCACAAGCAACTATACGGAACGCCTATATACACGCGCACACAAAAGACAATGAAGAGGTGAATGGAAGGAAAATCACTATAGAACAGGTATACGAAGTGGCCGCCTAGGTTGGAGTCAAGCTTGTCGGGCGATATGGTCTTTGAGCGGCCATATCAGCAACGGTTATATGACCCATCCTGGCGTTGCTGCAATTCACGATTTGAGTGTTCCATGAACCAGCCCCCCATTCTTCCTACTAGCCGTAAATTTTGGTGATCTCTCTATCCGAAAACAGTATACACTGCCCCGGAACTTACAAGGTGCTTTCTCTCTCTCTCTCTCTCTCTCTCTCTCTCTCTATATATATATATATATATATATATATATATATATATATATATATATATATATATATATAGAGCTGTCAGAGCTAGTAATAGGTTCACGTGCTACGCGACGCTAAACAGGCTCATAAAGAGTGTGCCACACTCGCTGCCTTGGCTACAGGTGGCGCCGACTGACACTCCCACGCGTAAATTCTCATATAAAACTCAATAAAGTGTAATTTAGAAGTGTGGCAGCTTGGGCTAGTTGGTATGGCATGACGATAGTTATAGCGCGAGAACAAAACGACGACACAGAGACAAGAAGGACACGAAAGACACGAGCGCTAATGTCACGAGCGCTTGTGACATGTGTCCTTCTTGTCTCTGTGTCGTCGTTTTGTTCTCGCGCTATAACTATCATCAATAAAGTGGTCGGGGGGATAGCCACCATGGTAGGTAGCTCAGTGGTAGAGCATCGAACGCGTTATTCGAAGGTCGCAGGTTCGGTGCCTGCTCACGGCAAGTTATCTTTTCAACCACTTCTCTTCCTTCACAATTACAGTTCAATTGGGTCTAATAACTTCCCCTATACATTCCTTGGCTATATTGTCTGTTAATCTCATCACAGTTGTGTCAAAACATGGAAAAACGAGCCCTTAAGTATACAATTCTAGCCCTTATATATAGACATATATATATATATATATATATATATATATATATATATATATATATATATATATATATATTTATATATATATATATATATATATATATATATATATATATATATATATATATATATATGCGCGAAGCGGCGGGAAGCAAAGTATCATTGCTTAGGTACTCTGTATGCGACCCGCCAAGCAGCAAACGTCAGTATATGCCGGTGAAATGAGATACGCGAAAGAATAACGGCACCCGTGTTGCCTCTGTCAGATTTGCATTTTTTTTTAAATTTTCCGTGTTTCTTTTTTTAAGCTCCTCTCTACAGCGTTGTTTGAAAACTGACCTTATCACAAAGCTTAAGTATCGAAGCAGTCACAATATAAATAAAGGAGCGAGTTGCTTACATGGCTTTCTTCAAGAGAGATAGAAGGAGAAAATTAAACTTTACTTTAGCACCGGGCGCGTGTTCTTAGGCAAGATGTGGGTGTCACCTCCTCATTTCAGGTAGAATGTCTTGCTGCCGACGCACGAGCTTTTCCCATCAGCCAGAGCTGGCGGCCGTCAGCGTTCGCTGGCGTCAGTAACGCC